AACCCAAATGGCATCACATAGTAATGGTAGGTGCCTCGATCGGTGATGAAGGAGGTGTGTTCCCGGTCAGACAGGTGTATCAGAATTTGGTTGTTTCCAGAGAAGGCATCCATGAAACTGAGCATTTGATGGCCGGCCGTGGCGTCAACCAGCAGATCTATGCGAGGAAAATGATAACTGTTTTTGGGGCAAGCTCGGTTGAGGTTAGAGCAGTCGACATAGAGTCGCCATTTACCGTTGTTTTTACGAACCAGAACTATATTCGACAGCCATCTAGGGTAGTCCACATTTGTGATAAACTATGCCTCAAGGAGCTTATCTACTTCAGAAGCAATAAGGTTATTGCGCTCTGGGTGAAAGATGCGCTGCTTCTGGCGGATGGGTCGAAAATGGGGCTCAATGCTGAGACGGTGGGTGATGAAGGAGGGGTCAATACCTGGCATGTCGGAGTGGGTCCAGACAAATATGTCGTTGTGCTCAATCTGAAGAGAGGTGAGGTCGGCCTTGGCCTGGAAGGATAGTTGGCTGCCGATCCTGGCAGTTTTTGCCAGGTTGGTGAGATCAATGAGGACCTCGACAAGCTCTTCCACTGGTTCTCCCCTAACCAGCTCGTCCTTGTCTCTAATGTCGAGTCCTTCAATGATCATGGCCTCCTTGAGCTTGACCTCTTTAAGTGAGGCAACATAACATTCCCTGGCCACAGTCTGCTCTCCCCTGACCGTGTCGACCCCAAGATCGGTGGGGAACTTGACGGCAAGATAGAAAGTGGATGTAATAGCTTGGAAGACATTTAGGACGGTGCGGCCGAGGATGATGTTGTAGGCGGAGGGACAGTCGACGACCAAGAAAGTAAGTAACTTGGTGGTCTGCCGTGGGTATTCTCCGATGGTGATGGGAAGATCGATGGAACCGATAGAGGTCACCCGGTCTCCAGTGAAACCGACCAACAGGGTTTGGAGAGGAGACAGACTTTCTTCCCCGATCTTGAGCTAGTGGAAGGCATTTAGGAAGATGATGTCTGAAGAACTGCCATTGTCGACGAGGACCCGTCTGACTTTATAATTGGAGAGGAGGGCAGAAATGACGAGGGGGTCGTCATGGAGGTAACGGATGCCTGTGCAGTCGGCTTTCGTAAAGGTGATGGGCTCCATCCACTGCTTAGGCTGTTTGGGAGGGCGATCTAATGTGGCAACTTCTTTGTTTGAGCCCTGTCTTATCTTTCTGAGTTCTACCCGCTGAGCCGAGCAGGATGGACCTCCACAAGCAAGCCCGCCAGTTATGACTCTGATTTCTCCGACAAGGGGGGCAGGGTTACCTTGTGCTCGGGGTTACTGTGGAGGGCGATCATGGCCAGGGTTAGGTTGTGCTGGCTGCTGGGGAGGAGTGCGCCGACGGTTGTTTCTGATGGGTTCGGTCCTTTGCCTTTGCTGAGGGCAGGTGTCCGTGAACTGACTGAGACGTCCCTGACGTATCAAGCTCTCGACCTGATCTTTGAGGTTAACACACTCCTCAGTATTATGACCGTGGTCTTGGTAAAAACGACAATATTTGGACTGGTCTCGCCGATTGAAAGGAGACTGTGATGGTTGGGGCCATTTCAGGGGGTAGTCTCTGTTGGATCTGATTGAGGACTTGTTCCATGGGGGAATTAAGGGGTGTGTATCGTTCGAACTGGCCGGGCGGTCAGGCTGGTGCCGACCGGTCGGCTCTGGGGGGTCGGTCGGTATACTGAGATGTTTGGTTATTGTATTGGGTGTTTCTGATTTCTGAGTCCTTTCTTTTCTCTCTGGGGGTCGGGTTTTTGGCTATACGGTCCTGTCGAGCAGCTAGGGAATATTTTGCATTCATGTATTTTTAGGCTTTGAAAAGAAGGGTTGCCATGGAGGTCGGGGGATTTTTTGAGAGGGAGAAAAGGAAATCAGATGATCATAGGCCGGCCATGAATGCCATGAGGATGACCTTGTCATCGTTTTCCGCCACCTGCAGGGCTTCGGTGTTGAAGCAGGTGACAAAGCTACGCAGCGACTTCCCCTCAGTCTAACGGATGTTGAAGAGCTGGGTTGCCGGACGCCGCTGGCGCTGGGCTCCAATGAAATGGCTGAGAAAGGAGTCACTGAGATGCTGGAAAGTGGAGACAGAGTCTGCTAGCAGTTGACTAAACCAGAGTCGAGCTGACCCCTTGAGTGTCACGGGAAAAGCCCGACACATGATTTTCATCGGGGAATGCATGGAGGATCATGAGGGTTCTATAGGTCTCCAAGTGATCGACTGGGTCCGTTGTACCGTCAAAAGAGTCGATCGTGGGCATTTTGAACTTATGAGGTAGAGGTTTGTCCTTGATGGAGGCAACAAATGGGGAGTTGGTTGTAATAAATGGTTTATGTTGTATGTTCTGCATGACCCCTTGGAGTTGGAGCTTCATGGCTCGAAGTTCTGCGTCCTAGAGAGGAATGTTGTCACCACCGGAAGGCAACAGGGGCTAGACGCTACTGGCCTCTCCTTTAGGGGTTGGTGCCGGGATCGATGGATGCGGTCCCTGGGGTGGCAGGTTTATACCTGGAGAGGGGGTTGCAAGCCTTCCAAGTTGAGTGGATTAGGCTGCTAGATAGTATGGCTCGGGGCTCGCTTTTGGTTGGGTGGGATATCTGGAGGTAGTGGAGGAGGCATAGAAAGGTTTCTTTGCAATAGAGTATTAATCGGGGCTTGATTTTGCTCGGCCAGGCGGTTAATGTTGTTGGTGGGCTCGGTGAAATACTGTGGTAGGTTGTTTGGATTGGGAGGGTCGACTTGATGATCGGCAACATTGGGGTGAGAAGCCATGGATCTAGTTGTGACCATCCACCTTCATAGGGTCTTCGGCGATAATGAGCACAACAGGCGCGCGGAACAAAACCTTTCCCACAGACGGCGCCAACTGACGATTCATCGGGTTCCAGACGGAACGGGTCGGACTGATCCACGATTCCCAAACCGGTGTCCGAGTGACCAAGCCCACAGAGGAACCTGCACAAGAGTTCAACGGGGAATGGGGAGTCCCCCAGCGAACCCTCCGACGAGCAAGTTAGAGAGAGAGAGGTGGAATGTAGAGATAGATTGGAGTTAGAAAGCTTAACCTTTTTCTTGTCTTTGATGTTTGCTTATATCCTTTGGTAATCATTTCGTTGTCCTTTCCGACCTGTCACCTTGGCCGAAAGTCTATGCTCTACCTTGCCTTGTTTATGGTGAAGGCTTTCTGTCCCAACGGAGAGGGGTTATCGCAATAAATGCTGGAAGGGGCTTCATTAATGGCGATGTGCAGTGGCAATAACTTTGCAGATCTTTGTCTGCTTGTGTGACTTGCCCTTCTCTTGCCATGTGTCTTGATGTCATTGATTTTTATTGCTACGTGGGGCTTCAACAATGCTGGGCTTTAGTATTTGAGTTATGTACTGGGCCCTAAATGGTGGACTATAATCTTTATGGATTTATCCATGTCACATAATATAAAGTAAATTTTAAACCTAAGATTTTAGGTTTATTAAGAACATACTTATCATTTTAAAAAAATATATATTATAATATTAAATTATTTATTATTAATTATCTAAATTATACGTTTTGCTTGTGCTGATCGCTAATACTTTGAAGGGCAAATTAAATTAATGGTCTCTATAGTTTGAGTTTTGTGTCATTTTAGTCCCTGACTTTTCAATTGTGACATATTTGACCTTGAATTTTGAATTTTGTTCTAAATAAGTACAATTAAAGATATCATTGCTTAATTTCAATGGCAAAATTGCCAATTTGATAAAAATATAAACTAATTTGACAAAAATAAATGTCAAAAACATATTTTTTAATTTTTAAAAATTATTTATACCCACTACAGATAAAATTATGTAAAATTGACAAATCTTTTATATATTTATTTATTTATTTTACCAAATTAATTTTTATTACGTGTTTGGATGATGATCATGTAATAGGTGATTGTTCTTATTTTCATTAAATTAGTTTCTATTTTTTCAAAATTCAAATATGGAGACAACTTTAATATCATTATTAAATCAACCCATTAAATCAAAAATTTTAAAATTAAAAATATTTCATATATTAAATATAAGAAAATGAGTGGGAGCACTAATTAGTGCCACCACTAATGATGTGACAATGGATCATACCCACTGTCACAATATTGTTGTGTGTGTTTTTTTTTTTTTAAATTTTTTTTTTTATAAAAAAGGTGGATGCCACATCATTAGTGGTTATTTTAGAGCACCACTTTTAGTGGTCTTTAGGATTGCATTTAAATATATCGATTACACATTAAAATTCTAACTACTTATTACATGATCATTATCAAAACACATAATAAAAATTAATTTGGTAAATAAATAAATAAATGTTTAAAATATTTATCAATTTTACATAATTTTATTTTTGGTGGGTAGAAATAATTTTAAAAAATTTAAAAATATTTTTTGATATTTATTTTTATCAAATTAGTTTATATTTTATCAAATTAACGATTTTACCTTTGAAATTAAGTAATGATATTTTCAATTATCCTTATTTGAAATAAAATTCAAAATTTAAAATCAAATATATCATAACTGAAAAATCAAAACCAAAATGACATGAATCCTAAACTATAAAAACTCTTAGGGGTTGTTTAGAATGATTTAAATAAGTGCATTTTTTAACTTTTTATGAAATATGGGTTGAGTTTGAAGTGATGTGTCAAAGAGGTGATGTGACTAAGACTTGGTTTGACATATTCAAAAAAATAAAAAAGTCACTATCCTATTTAAGTCGCATCACCTCTCTACCACATCACTTCAAATCCAACTCATATTTCATAAAAAGTCAAAAAATATATTTATTTATGATATTCTAACCAACCCGTTAAATAAGATAATAATTTTTTAATTTTTTTTTAAAAATGTCAAACCAATCCTGAGTGTAATTCGCCCACTTTTGAAAGTAAACCGTGATTAATCGGGCGAAAGGGGCCCCAAAATCTAGAGCCCAAAGATGATGCAATGCACCCAAGAAACACTACTCCGACCGACCAGGGCTCGTTAATTCAAAACCCAAAAAAAAGGGCGGCAGAGAGAGAGATACACCCAACACAGAAGAGACACTCCTCCATTTTCTCTCTGTGATAAGGAAGGGGTTCGAACTCAGAAGATGTCGGTGGGAGTTAGGGAGCTCACGGTGCTCGGCGTGTTCAAACCCTTTGGCTTAATCGCCGAAGCTCTCGACGGCAAGCCCACCCATCAACTCCCCCATAACTACTCTTACTTTCTTTTCCATCCCCAACTCACCAAACAAAGAGACGAAGCCGATGGCTTCAATGCTTCGTCGTCTTCCACCGACCGCAGCGATCACGAGCTTTTCTTCAGAGCAAATCGGTATTCTTATGTTTTTTTCATTTGGGTTTTCTGTAGCTGAAATGGGTCCAATTGGGGGGTTGGCATTGACGAGATAGCTTGTTCGGTTTCTGCATTTTCATGTTAATTTAACTTTAGTTTACAGTGGTGGGATAGTGGACAAGTGGTGATTATAATTTTCAACTGTTTTATTTGGAATATGGTTTCTCAAGCTATGCTATTAGGGCAACATTGGTTGAAGTTATTGAGAAGTAGGCAAGTATCAATATTTTTTTGGGTGATCTTTAGGCTTTAGCAGTGTTCATGAAGAAAAGATTGGGTTTTAGCCCTGAATTTTTGGGATGGTTTACACGAGAAGTGTTTTATTTTAGCCCTACATTCCATTTGGGAATCAATGAGTCAAAATAAAAGAAAGGATTTTTTTTTTTTTTTTTGTTGGGGGTGAAGAAGAAAGGATTACTTCAGTTAGGAGAGAAAAGAAAAAAAGAGACATTTGTGTTTTCTCTCCAAGAAATGTCCCATCCCCCCATTTCATCACCCCCAATTGCACCTCTAATGAGGTGGCAAACAATATCAACCAATCAACTTTCTTCAAACTTTTCTCTCTCCTTTCAAGATTGTTTGCTACCTCATTAGAGGTGTAATTGGGGGGATGAAATGAGGGGATGTAGCAAAACTCTCTCTCCTATCTTATTTGGTTAAAGACTACATAAGAGAAAAGGAAAGGAAAGGACTTATATTGTTTCCCAAAATAATTATTTTTTAAAATTTATTTTGTATTTAAAATTCAATATTATGAAAATTCAGCATTAGCTGGCTTCTTTTCTCTTCAAATCTTTCTACTTTTGAAGAGATTAAAAAATTGGGTTTGAAAAGAAAAAGCATTTCACTCCATTTCTCTCATCTTTTAATTATCCAAACAGGTAATTAGGGGCAAGAGATTTCTATTTATTTTCTTTTCTTTCCAAATCACCTAATCTAAACGGGTGGCTAATGAAGATTTCCATAATGTCTGTTAGACAATCATTGGGAGGGTTTGGGATTTAATCCCCTTCAAACCTTAAGAAGAACAATTTCTTCTTTTCCTTAGATACACGTTACGAAGAATAAGTTGTCAAACATTTTTCAAATTAAAAGTATATTCTAAAATCTTATTTTGTATTAGTCACATAACTATTTATCATATTCACCAAGAGGCAAACTCGTGCAGAATCATTGGCAATCCATTTCGAGCAGCTTCTCTAGTTATAAGGAAAACCAGAACTATAGTTTCTATCGTAGGATTAGAAACTTTGAAGTGGAGTTTGCACTTAAGAAGATGAAATCGAATAAGGCTTTAGGATCCGATGATATTTCTATTGAAGCGTGAAATGTTTGGGTAAGAAGGGGAGTTGTTTGGTTAATTAGGTTATTTAGTAAGATTTTGTTGACTAAGAAAATGTCAGAGGAGTGGAGGAAGAGTATTTAAGTGTCAATATATAAGAATAAAGGAGTTGTCGAAAATTGCAATAACTATAGAGGAATTAAGTTAATGGGTCATACAGTGAAAGTGTGGGAGAGAGTGAGGGAACGTTGATTGCGAGATGTAACAGAGGTGTCAGAGAATCATTTTGGGTTTATGCCTGGTAGGTTAACAATGGAAGCGATATATCTTTTGAGGAGAGTAATAGAAAGTATAGAGAAAAGAAAAAAGATATTCATATGGTTTTTATTGATCTTGAAAAAGCATATGATAGAGTGCCTCGGGATATAATTTAGTGGGTGTTAGAGAAGAAATGGGTGACAAAAGATTACATTGATGTGATTAGAGATATGTAAGAAGGTGTGGTGACCTCTATTAGATCGCTTGTTGGAGAGATGAGTGAATTTTCAATTACTGTAGGGTTACACTAAGGATCAAGTTTAAGTCCTTATCTTTTCGCTCTAGTTATAGATGAGTTAACGCGCCATATTCAGGATGATGTGTCATGTTGTATGCTTTTTGCAGATGATATCGTGTTAGTGGATGAGATTAGAGAACGAGTTAACACTAAGTTGGAGATTTGGAGAAAAACACTTGAATCTAAAGGATTTAGGATAAGCAGAACTAAAACAGAGTATATGGAGTGTAATTTTAGTAACAATCACAATGGAAACAGAGGAGAAGTGGAGATTGAGAAACGAGAACTACTTAAGAGTGAACATTTTCGTTTTTTAGGATCGATTATCACAATGACTGGAGAGATTGGAGCGGATGTGGTCCATAGAATTAAAGCGGGGTGGCTTAAGTGGAGGAGTATGTCTGGAGTACTGTACGATAAACAAGTATCCATTAGACTAAAAGGAAAGTTTTATAGAACTGTTATTAGATTAGTGATGTTGTATGAGATGGAATTTTGGGCAATTAAGAAACAACGTGTAGATAAGATGAGTGTTGTTGAGATGAGGATGTTAAGTAGGGATGGCAATTTGAACCCGGCCCGACGGGGACCCGATCCCCCGACCCCGATGAGAATGGTTTTTCCCCGAAAAATACCCCCGTGGGGACGGGGATGGTATTCAAAATTAAAACCCCGATCAGTTTCGGGCCGGGGACGGTGATCAGTGTTCAAGCCCCGGCCCGTCCCCGTCCCCGACCCCGTCCCCGGCCCCGAATTTCCCCCGAAGCAAAATTACCATTTTACCCTCTATATATATATATATAAATCAACTTCTTTACTTCACTCACACAGAAGCCTCACTCACTCATACTCATCTGTCTGCCTCTCATCTGTCTCTCTCTCTCCTTCTCTTTAAAACCGTCGGCCGATCTCCATCTCCCACCGCCGATCTCCCTCCTCCCTACGACTCTCTCTCTTCTCCCTTACAAACCCACTGCTCTCTCTCTCTCTTCCCTCTACTATCTCTTCCGACGCTATTGTCCGACGTCGACTCGATCCTCCGATCTGAGACTGAGATCCGCCATCGTCCCTCGCTAGATCTTCGCCGTTGCAGATTAACTCCAGGGATTACAGATCAATCGAGCATGGTGCAGATTTACCAGATCTAGTTTCTCTCTCTCTCTCTCTCTCTCTCTCTCCCTCCTCCCCTCTGATCTGTGTCTTATGTTATCATTTTATTTTTGTTTTGTGTGTAGTTGATCTGTTAATGTTGAAATGGTTAATGATTTGTTGATCTGTTAAAGAAATCTGTGTTAATGATCTATGTTGTTGTTAAAGAGATCTGTGTAGTTGATTTGTTGATGGTTTTGTTCTTGTCTCAATAGGGATGATCTATGTGGTTTATACAATAGATTGAAAATGATCTGTTTTGAAGAGATCTGTTTTGATCTATTTGATGATCTATGGTTTTGATCTATTTGATGATAGATCAATATCAGTTGATCTATACAATAGTTTGAAATTTTTAATGATGATGATGATGATAGATTACTGAATACAACAGATTGAAATTATTTTTGTTGTTTTTGTGTTAAAAAAAAAATAAAAAATGAACAGGTCGGGGATTTTCGGGGTCGGGGAAACCCGATCCCCGATCGGGGGCTGGGACGGGGGGGCTGATGGGGTCCCCGTCGGGGATCGGGGCCGGGGACGGGGAATTTCTCACTATCGGGGATCGGGGATGGGGAGTATGGTCCCCGGCCCCGCCCCGCCCCGTTGCCATTCCTAATGTTAAGGTGGATGTGTGGCAAGACTAGAAAAGATAGAGCTAGGAATGAGTATATTCGAGAATGGGTAGGAGTAATACCGATAGAAGATAAGTTGAGAGAGAATAGATTGAGATGGTTTGATCATATACAACAGCGACCAATAGAGGTAGTAGTTGTTAGAATATATGCTGGAATTTATGAAGCACGGATACTTCAAATAGGAAGACGTATCCATATCGTATTTGTATCGGATACCGATACTCCTCGGATACTTACGGATATGTATCAGATACTTATTAAAAGTATCGGATACTTCTTAATTAATTTTTCATTAATTTTGAAGTATCGAATACTTAGTTTTGAAGTATCGGATACTCTGACTCACATATTATCGGATACTTCTTAATTAATTTTGAAGTATCAAATCCTCCAAGGCACGTATTACTCTTTTTACGAAATTAGAATTGTATTATTTCTTGCATAACATCATGATATAATATAATTGCGAGAATAAATAAAATATTTTTACAATACTTTGCTTAGTTTTTTTTTAATAAAAATAACATAGTAAGCTCAAATAATAGAATTCATCAAATTGGCATATCTTCACTATATAATGCGTGTCCCCTATAACTACATAGAAGTAAGGATTAATAAGATAATATAACAATAGTAAAATTAAATATCAATAAATAAATAAGAAAATAAATAAGAAAATAAACTTGCATAGAATATTTTTGATTGGTGCAAAAGGAAAAAACATAGGGTCAAGTTATGGATTGTTTGGATATTATAATATCAACATATTAGACTTGATATTGAAATGAAATATTTGCAAGACCTATTGAAAATTTAAAAACTAAACTAGCTATTAGCTTAAATTAATACCTAATTCTTAAATATTAGTATTTTGCATTATAAAGTTACTGTGATTTCTCAACATTCCTGAGCTTATGCGTAACTTATTGCTAATAATTTATTTATTTTTTATTTTTTACAAACGTATCCTAGCCGTACCCGTATCCTACTTTTTTAGGTTTTGCTGTATCGCCGTATTCGTATCGTATCGTATCCATATCTCGTATCTGTATCCGTGCTTTTTAGGCTGGAATCAATCCATTCTTTTGTTTCCTTATTTAGATTATATTTTGATTCCTTAATTAGGGCCTTAGGACTTCCTTTGTAACAGTTTTTGGTTGATTATTATAAAAGGGAGTGATATCATGATCATACCCTAAGTCAGTTTTCTCTCAAACAGACATGGTATCAGAGCTACAGAATTTTTACCTCATCGCCCATCCCTTCCATCATCATCCGATAGCCATCCAGGTCCAGCCGACTACTCACAGGTGTTTTCGGCTCTTCTTCAGTCCTTTTAGGGCAAGCCGACAAC